GATGTCTGCACGTGTGCAGACAGCGAGGTAGAGCAGCTCTCCAACTATCTTCCGATAGCGAGATGGGAGGTCAGGAATGTCGTCGTATGTGGCGTCGTCGTGGCCGAATGGATGCTTAGGATCCAGAGGAAGCTGGACTGGGTTGCAATCGAGGAGGTTGTATTCGTCTAGAAGGTAGGAGATGTATTCGCCTTGGTGGATCCAAAGATCGCGGGTGGAACGACGCCGTTCGAACTGGATACCTAAGAATTTGTTGATGGGGCCTAAGTCTTTAATACCAAAGCGTTGAGCGATACGCCCCTTCATGTATTGGAGGAAGGGCTTGGAATTCGAGGTACCCATTCCGTCGTCGACGTGCCATCCCACTATGCAGAAGATGTGGCCAGCGCCGCTGGTCGTTTTGTCGTAGAAGAAGACGGTGTGATCGACGCGACACCTGGTGAATCCCAGTTCAGTCATGACTGCCCTCACCTGCTCGTACCATTCCATGGCTGATTGCTTCAGTCCGTAGATGGTACGAAGCATGAGCCAGACTATTAGGGCCCAGTTGCCCTCCTCAAACCCCTTGGGTTGGCGCATGTAAATCTCCTCTTTTAACACCCCCCACAGAAATGCACGGCGTGCGTTGTAGAGACTCGCGCCTCTCGATGCCGGATATGCGGCCTTCTTACCCATTTAATTCCCTATCTGTATCAGCTCACATCCTAAGGACCAGTCATTCGCGCTCTCGCGCGCGCGCCCTACGTACGCGCCTCACTCGCACATCGCACACGCACGCGCGCCCTTCGCGTGCGCGCTCCATAGGCCTTCGCGCTCCTACCGTCCGTCCCTCTGTCCTTTGTCCTTGCTGATTCACTGGTGCGTTATTTTTATCTCTCTCGTTGAATTAACGAACCTTCGGTCCGACCTCCGTGCTTACATACAGAGAGCCTATTTAAACTTAGAATATATTTAGAAGTTGATATGGTTACTCGGTTCGGGAGCGCGCTCGGAAGCGCGCCGCATAGCGTAATCTCCCTTCTTAAATAGAGGGAGGATTCCTTCGGTTCTGGTACTTACTTTCCCCTTATCTTGATATACTGCAAAGTGTAGAGTTCTCCCTCCAATACTAGAAATCTGATTATACTCCTCCACTGTTGACACCTGTGCCCTTGCTACTCTCTTAAGGACTCCTCTCCTTCATCGTTCAAGCGCGCGCCCGCTTACGCGCGTACCCTCCGCATCTCTCGCTCACGCGCGCATCTCGCGCGCCTTCGCATCGCCTACGCGCGCCTTCGCGCGCGTTACTTTCCCGCGTCTACCAGCGCCCGTCTAGTTGACATAGTTTCCCTCCACCTTATTCGCGAGGAACTTCTCTCAGTAGCTGTCCTTTGGGTCGAGTTGTATTCTCGTATCCAGGTCTTGCTGTAGAGCCCCCTTTCTTTTAGTGTTTTCACCCACAGTCAAGATTCCTCACCTTCAGCGTCGAACGTATCGAGTTCCCAGTCGTTGCGGCACGCTAAGGCTGCGATGAAACGCACAGATGCGGTCTTGATGACGGGTGCGAACGTGGCGCCGTAATCGATTCCTGGGACCTGAGAAAAACCTTGAGCGACTAAACGTGCCTTGTATACCGGTCCCCCTTTATTGTCCTCCTTAAACTCCAGCACCCAACGGTTTCCTATTGCCTTCCTCCCCTCTGGTAGCTTCGTCAACTGGTAGACTCCCATTTCCTTCATAGTGGCCAATTCTCCCTCCATAGCCGCAAGCCAGTGTGCACGATCTGAGCGCTTCATAGCCTCATCGTAAGTTGCTGGGGGTATGGACATGTCGTAGTCGGGGCTCTCGGGATTCCGCTTACGGTTGCTGCGCAGTGCGATGTGCGACTGTTCCTCTATGCAGATGTTAGCGACGAGTTCGGGAACATCGACATTCGGTTCGATTTCCGAGATGTCTTCCCGATCAGTGGTGATATTGTCCACCCCCTCAACGAGAGGCTCTGACACCCCCTCGCTCAGTTGTGCAACGCGGGTTGCGCGTGTCTCGCGTAAAGCATGAAGGCGAGTTTTCGAGGCAGCCAGCTCCTCCGCATAAAGCTGACCAGCCTGCGTTTTGACCTGCTGGCGAGAGGAACGACGTGGTGGAGCTGGCGGTGAAGCAGGAGGAGGGCCGGGAAGAGCAGCAAGAGGTGTGGGAGGGTGGGTGGCCGCAGGAGCACTGTGAACGGGAGTGTTGCGAACGGGAGTGCTGTGCTCGTCTTCTGAGTCGGTGTCGACGATGCTGGCTAAGGAAGGGAGGTTTTCACCGAACACGACATCGCGGGCGACAAAGAAGACATGGGAGTCTCTGTCGCGTAGACGGTAACCTTTCGTTCCCTCAGGGTATCCAACGAAAATCGCATGACGCGAGTGCGGACCAAGTTTCACCTGAAGCTCGGTGGGGATCCTTGCAAAACAGCGTGCTCCAAAGACGCGCAGATGAGACAGATCTGGTTTGCGACCATTGAGAATTTCGTAGGGCGTGGTACCTGGTGTGAGGGTGGATGACTCAGTGCGATTCCACAAGTAACAGGCGGTCAGCGCCGCTTCTCCCCAGTACGTTGTGGGCAAACCAGCGGTTTCAAGCATGGCAAAGAGGCGGCCCTCTAAGGTGCGCATGGCACGTTCTGCTTTTCCGTTCTGTTGGTGGGAGTATGGAGCTGATAGCTGGCGCGAGATGCCTGCTGAGAGGAGTGCGTGAGTGAAAGACGTGCCTATGAATTCTCCACCGTTATCTGAACGAAACACCTTCACCCGACGACCTGACAAGGTCTCCCAACGTTTGCGGACGATCTCCCAAGCTTCAAGCGCTTGGTCCTTGGTGGCAAGAAGTTGGAGGCTGAGAAGATTGCTATGATCGTCCAGGAAGATGACGAAATGGAGTTTTCCATGTGGAGTGGCGATGGGGAAGGGTCCACAGAGGTCGGAATGTACGAGGTCGAGGAGGTGTGAAGCTTTCGGTGAGGTAGATGGCGGATAGGGCTTGCGAGGATGCTTGCCCATAACGCACGGTTCACAGGTATGCAGCGGCTGTGTTGAGTCGACTTGAGCTCCAGTGGAAAAATGCGGGAGACGTTTCACAGCCTCTCCGCCGGGATGACCAAGCCCCGCGTGCCATAAGTTCCACGTTAATGTGACTTTGGCAAATGCCGAGAGTTCAAGGTGGGGCGAAGGCGTGGAAGGTGGAATGAATTTCAAGTCCAGAAATATCAAGTTTCCCACCATTGGTGCGTCACCCAGCTTCTCGCCTCGATAAACGAGTTGACAGCGTGGAGGGTCTGGTAGAAACAGGCATGCCCATCCCTTCTTCAACATTCGTCCTACTGACATCAGGTTGACCATTGCACCAGGTGCGTGAAGACACTCGCTGAGTCTTATCCGCTGTGTTCGACCGTTCATGGTGAGATCAGCTACGCAATCACCGCGTCCCGAGGCGATAAGTTTACCGTGATTTGCGGTTTTGACTGTGACTTGGGCGCTCGCATTGTAAGTCCAGAAAAACTTTCTGTCCATGATGAGCGTTGACGTAGTCCCAGAATCTAATATTGTCGATAGCATGTGGCTAGTGATGCACGCAATGTCGTCCGCTCTCGGCAACGATTCCTCAATACCAGAGCAAGACCAGTCACGATAATGGCCTGAGGCGATGGTGTTGGATGCAGCTAGCGCTGCTGTTTCAGTGGGTGCGGAAGGGACAGTGGGGGCTGTAGTGGGCGGTTTGGACTCTGTGGCTACCGTCGCTACGTCTTTTCTCTTTCCTCCGCGTTCGTTCCGCTGATTCCATGGGGCCTTTCCTTCCATTCCTCCACCAGGTTGTAAACAATGGTCCCGATCATGAGTCAACGACCGAGGTAGACCATTGCAAACTGGATTCTCGCAGGGCACCCCCTTAGGGTTGTTCCTGTGGATCCGTACACCTGTCGCTTGGTTGACGGCGCGTGGTTCGTTTGTTCGCTGAGGGAAATTACCAGCGGCGTTGGCGTATTCCGACCCAGGTCGGGCTTGAAGCTTAAGCTTCCCGAGCTGTCGGTTCGCTTCCTCTGTGAAGGATGTCGCAACTTCCTCGAAGGTGAGTTTAGGTGACGTCGTTGAGGTCGTGGATGATGAGGGAGTGATTTTGTAGGCGTTCATGGTGAGACTACGAAAGACAACCCATTGGGGGGTGTCTGGGAGTCCGTTGAGGAGCATGAAGATGCATTCCTCTTCGGTGAAGGTGACGCCCATTTCCGCAAACCTTCGACGGCCGTTTTCGAAGACCCCAAGATAGCGTGCTCCATCATCTGCATCCTTCAGTCTCTCCGAAAAGAGTTGGGACCGCAGCTCGAATTGCGAGGTGACGTCAAGGCGCCCAAAGCGTTTCTGTAACACCTCCCATTGTTGGCGGGCTGTTAATTTCTCACCGAGCACATTTTGGACGACGGGGGACAGCCTTCGACCGATGATGGCCTTAGCTTGTGCGTCTTCTTTAATCCATTCTTTTATGCTGGTGGTTTCTGCTGTTGTGGGTGTTGCAGGAACTGCTGGTACGGGCATCGTGCTAGCGTATTCAGCAAAGTCAAGAGGGTCGGTTCCACTACTGCAGTGGTTCCATAACCCCTCGCCTGCTAATGCAAGTTCAGCGGCCCGTCACCAAGTCGGAAAATTTTCCGATCCTGTCAACTCCGGGAGATGATCGAATTTTCCCATCGTTCGCGATGGAGAGTCAGTCTCGACGTTCGATTCGTTAAATGAACGTAGGTGTGCTGTCGCTTCGTATACTGCTGAACTGACTAAAGCTCAGCAGGGCTCATAACCTGTACGCGCTAGCGGACTAGCGTAGCGAGGCTCAGTATTGTCAAGAGAACAAGACTATATTCAGTACCTAGCGTAGCGAGGCTAGGATACATCAGTAAGAGAGTATGCGAGCTATGAATGTACTACCCACCTCAGTATTGTCAAGAGAACAAGACTGAGGTGTCAAACGGAGATTCGACGATGTAAGTATCAGCGTGAATGATTATGTAACGCAACACCGGAGGATCGACGAGCGGAAGTACCATAAGGTGCAGAAGTCAAGAAGCAATGAAGCAGTGTGGTAACGAAGATGTTCAAGAGATAACGAGCAAGAAAAGGAATTGGAATGCTAACAATTAATGCCTCGCCAGTCTTTATATCCCACACCCGAACCGTCCTGTCGTCCGAACCAGACACGATGGAGGATCCATCCGGCGAGATTGCAACAGAGTTGATGGAGTCGATGTGGCTTTCGAGGGCGGTAACCAATGCCTTTCTAGTGATGGTGTCAGCATCCCACACCCGGATGGTGTTGTCCTCTGAACCAGAGACTATGCGACTTCCATCCGGCGAGACTGCGACAGACCGAACCCGGTTAGTGTGGCCTTGAAGAGGGGATCCCACTGCCTCGCCATTCTTCGCATCCCACACTCGGATCGTCTGGTCAAATGAACCAGACACAATACGATTTCCATCCGACATGAATGCAACTGACTTAACGTCGTCCGTGTGGCCTTGAAGTGGGGCACCCAATGCCTCCCCAGTCTCCATATCCCACACCCAAATCGTCTTATCTTCTGACCCAGACACGATGTGTTTGCCATCAGGCGAGATTGCGACAGAGTAAACAGCGCCAATGTGGCCTTGGAGAGGGGAGCCCAATGCTTCGCCGGTTTCCATATCCCACACCCGGATCGTGCTGTCATATGAACCAGACACGATGTGTGTCCCATTTGGTGAGATTGTGACACACCGAACACCCTCTGTGTGGCCTTTGAGTGGGGAACCAAATGCCTCGCCAGTCTCCAGGTCCCACACCCGAATTGTCTCATCGGCCGATCCAGATACGATGCGTTTTCCATCCGGTGATATTGCAATAGACAGAACATAGCCAGTGTGGCCTCGGAGAGGGGATCCTAATGCCTCGCCAGTCTTCGCATCCCACACCCGCACTGTTTCGTCGCATGAACCTGAAATGATGCGACGTCCATCCAGCGAGAATGCAACAGACATAACATAACTAGTGTGTCCTCGAAGAGGGGGGCACAATGCCTCGCCAGTCTCGATATCCCACACCTGGATCGTTTCGTCATCTAAACCACATGCAATCCATTTTCCATCTGGCGACAATGCAACCGAGTTAACCCTGCTATTCGCATGGAGTATCTTCTCCATCTGAGGCCAATTCTCGACGTGGCCAGCAACGATGCGAGGGGTGCAAGGAAACTTTGAGGCGAACTTGCGAAACATTATTGACTGTGTTGGAGCGAACGGCAGAGCGGACACGTATAAATGAGGAGTGCTGCGTAAGATGGTGGTCGCAAATGTTCGGACGAAACGTAGGGTATCCCTGGTAGCGTGACTAACATGCGTGAACTCGGCATGACCCTACAACCACCCCACTACTCGTAAGAATTCGTCACAAAATAAAGAGCTTGAGCTACGCACCGAAAACCATTCCTCGATGGATGAGAGGGTCACTACAGAGCCGCCGAGAGTTTTCATCAGGGCCAGTGCTTCCAACCACCAAAGGAGGCGCTCTCCATCGAAGAAAGCTTCAGCCTCTTTAGCGAGCGATGATTCGAAGGATGTAAAGCTGACATGAGTTCCCCAAAAGCGACATGAGTATGATAGCTCAGCCGGAATGGATTCTTTGACTCGTTTCTCCAAATCGGGGACAGAAGAGTTGGGCAAGTACGAGTTCTCCAAGGAGCAGATGTTGAAGCGAAGCCCGCGCTCCGAGTCCATGACCCGAAGCGAGGCAAAAGCAAGATCTCTTTGTACCGCTGATGTGTTGACGAAGAAGTCATGGCTCCGCGATTCGTCTGTGAGGAAGTCGTAGAAGGATGCGTGGAGGGGGTGTATGGGAATCTGAGGATCTGAGGATCCATGATACCGGTGACAAGCGAACCTAGGGATATAATGACATCTTGTACATTGTAACGGTTACGCCCATCAGGAAAATGTATTCGCATAGTTGTCAACGCAGGCATGGGAAGTGGTTCTAATGAAGCAATAATTTGCCCCATCACTGAGCAAAACACTGGGATAGCTTCCCTGCGCTCGTCCTTCGGCATGATTTCTTCCAAGATGCGTGCATACATAATATCCAACAGACGTGTTCCTTTTTCAGACGTTCCAGCAACCACAGCGTCGAACCGGTCCATCGGACCCAGGCCAACCCTGTTCGTGCTCTTGATGTACTCACAGGCGAGACGAGCCCATTCAAATAGGCCGTCAGATTTCTCAGCAAGCACCTTGAAATGTGCATTGTTGAATAAGTTGCCCAGTCCTGCGAGCCTGGTGGAAATGTATAACTGGATGTCATTAAGTGTGGATACAGGCGAGATATCATCCATGGAGACATGGCGGACATGCGATGCACCCAGGGTATCGCGAATATCTTGCAGTGGGCGGGAAATGATGATGATACGGATATTTGCCGGTAGCTCGGCGGGTTGAGAGGAAGTAACGTCCACCTTTCCAGACAGCAGACGAAGAATCTGTTCTCGGGTATTCGCGTCACCGCTCTCATCCAACGCATCGATAACTAGCAGGATAGGCGCAGTGGTGGCTTTCGAGGCCTCGCAAATTGGTCCTATGACTAACTCCTGCCATTGTCTTGAGATATCTACAGTGTGTTTAAGCTCGTTATCGTCATGAACCGCACGCGCCAATGCTCCTCGCATGGTAATATCGCAATCGGCCAAGTCGCGTGCGATTGTGGTGAATATCTTTTCGTGGCGGCGTTCGGCTTCCCTTGTGCGGTCGAAGCAAAAACAAGCTCGCATTCCCCCGCGCTCCTGAGACCAGTTGGCTATGGTATGGGCGATGGCTGATTTGCCTTTCCCTGCCGTGCCAGACAGCCATAAGATGCGTGGCACGTCTTCGCTCATGCTACGGACCCAGCATTTGATCTCAGATAGAATGTCTTCCCGAGTGCCTGGGAGACAATTCTTGGAGGTATTTCTTCCAGCACCAGGTATATATTCCATGCCACTAACGTCCAGGTCCTCAGCTAAATCATAGGCATTAAATTTCAGAGAAGGAGGACTTGAAACTGATCATACCGATGCGGTGAACAGTTTCCGTGGTGGTAAGAACCATTTGATCTCGAAACTGTTGCATGAGATTGTCGATAACCTCGTTGTGACGTTGGATTGCGGCCTCTGTTTCATTGAAGACGTGCTTGCCGAGTCTTCGCCCTGTGAAGATATGCTCAGTCTTGGGTGACATTGTGGTGGAAAAGACTCACAAAAACTCTTCATTTCCGAGTAATGGACTACAAAGTCGGCACACTCCAACGTCTGTCGCGCAAGCTTTCCATATATCTCTAGCATGGATGCAATCCTAGTCAATCCCTCACGCGCCGTTAATAAAGCATAGACTTCCGAGATCTTCGAAAGAAGACGGGACATTGCATCATCCCGGTTCGCCTGATCGAGAATCATCTATCGTCCATACACTTTTATTGACCTGTAAAGTGTAAGAATATATAATCGAACACACCTTAGACGCGAAGGTGAAGATACTCAATGCCACCTTCGCGTAGGGATGGACCTACGCACAAAGATCAGTCATGTACGAAATTGAGATAGACGCCCGTACATCTGCAAGCGTTGTAGCGACAGTGTTAAACACTCTTAATGGTGCGAGAATCGGGGAGAACGTGTCAATCGTATCGGAAACAGACTGTAGGTTGTCGGATGCTGAAGCAGTATTTTTCACCATGCCTGAGACATGTTTGATTCCGTCGAGATCCGATTTGGCATTCACGAGCTTTTCCTTGACAACCTTCGGGTCAGGTTGTTCGGACTGATGAGAGGATTTAGTGCATGATCGAAAGAGATATAAGAATATTACGAACTGTAATAGTCAAACTTATGTTTGCAACGCCCACATCGGAAGACTGGTCAGGATTTAATTCGGGAGTGATAGTGGGTGGTGGAAGATCCTGCGGCCGTTACTAGTTAGATCACACACGGAACGTACCAAGAATTGTATATACCTGGCTTTTCTGAGGGTGTAGGCGATCTTGTGCACTAGAACTTGCAACCGTGGGTTCAGGGTTGGGAGACTGTCGAGCGAAGCGCTTGGTTACCTTGCCCAAGTACTTGGGAACCAACCTCGATAATCCTCTGCGAGATTCATTCCTCGAAGGCGGAAGAGAGGAAGGCTGTAATCATAATTAGAAACATGCAATGGCGTAGTTGTAATGGTGAGAATCCATACACCACTGACTGCTTTCTGGCCTCTCTCCTCTGCCAAATGAGGGTTTGAACGACTTTGCGTTAGTAACCCCCAACGCTTCTTCCAAGGAGGATTGTCTTCACTCATCGAGTAAGTTGGATAGAAGGTTGAGTGTTGGTCTTGAAAAGGTTCTTGGTCGGCGTGTGGTGGATGGTACGCAAGGTGAACAGGCAGCTGCCGAACATGTGTTTCGAAGCATCCGTTATTGAATATTGATTAATATTTCCTCGACCACAAAACAAATGACATCCTCCACGATCGAACTCCGAGCATAATATACCGTCCGTCATGAATATCTGGCACATGTGCAAACGAGAGAGACAAGATTCCACGTCTCACGCTGACTCGAAGTTTGTCATACAAATAGTGTTCTTCTTGATCGACGAACATTTATTGTCACAGTTGGATGTATCAATGTTCGGTACTGCTGCTCGATGCACTATTATATGATGTTTGAGAGTTGTCGACCGCTGCCATACGATTATCCAAAGCAACGCCACTGAAATGTGGCAGATTTCAAATGCCACCTCCCACGCGACTTTGTTAGAACATCTCCATAGTAAGACTGGTGACGAGTCTGTGCTGATACTGTATTTTCTGATCTGTACGATATCGTCGAGGAGGGGTACCGGTGATATTGTGCTAAGAAAATAGGACTGTCATGATGTGTTCTAATACTCTTTGTACTAGCCGTCAGAATTCTCTTATTTATCTGTAGCACCTTCCCCGTCTCATGATCAACCTCGTTATGGCTATCGTCGTCATCTTCGTCCTCCTTCAAATCCTTCGTGCACTTGTCCTCTAATTCTGAACCTGCATCTTTATCAGCTTCGTCATCCAAGAAACAAACTGGTCAGTCCTTGCGAGCTGGCCCATCATTGGACTTGCTTTGGAAGGTGGTGTCTCATTCCATGCAAGATTGCCAACAGACCTTGCTCCTTAGTAGGGTAGATCATAGGTGGCGATCTGCTGGCATTGCAGATGTCACGTGTCCGAAATGAAATTCAGGTAAATAAGATATCTGATAGACTACTACTACATTGCATGCATGAAGATCAATACTCAGCGCATACTTAAAAGCAAGGCGTCTTCCTGCTCTCTTCTTCAGAGAGATTTGATCCCATACCACGTCCTCATAAAAATGCGTCTCTCCTTTGTCCTCGCCACTGTTGTTGCTTTGACCACATCAATATCTGTCAACGCTGACAGTAACTGTCCTGTTTTTTGCACACATACTAGCCAATGCTCAGGGTGCGGTTTCACTGAAACAGATTGCGTGAGTATGAGTAGTTTGCGTCCTGGATCTATCTACATAACTTACCGACATGGTAGATCCTCTTTTTGTGCTGGGTGGTCAAGTACTAGCTGGATGATATGCAGATCGTACAGAGCCGGTTTTCTATGGGCTTGCTTCGCGAACTAAAATTGGGAAGGGACGGGACGGGATGCTTACCATAGATAAATCTGGATGTCATGTAAACAGGTTGTCGAGCCACCGTGCAATTTCATCAAATGGACTTTGAAAGAGCGGGATGCCCTGCGACGTAGTGCTTATTTCACGTTGAAGCATTGCGACACAGTGGCACACAGTGCGAATGGCAGAATTGGACTATAAAAAAGCCGCATTGGCCGTATCAGTAACGATTCATATAAATGCGCGCACCATGTACGGTAGCGTGTGTGTTCTATCTGTGTCCATATCGCCTTCTCCCATTGCTGAGCACATCAGGAAATCTCGAGTTTAACTTTTACTCACAGATGATGTAAAGCGGGAAAAAAGTAGAAGTTAGTAGATCGCCCTGATATGACAGTTAGAATGGCGGAATCGAGTTTCCTTACATTGTCCGACATTGAGGGACTCCTTGTGCCAGATACATATGGCAAGTATTGTAGCTCCGACATTCCCATGTCCAATTTTGGTGATGAAGCATCCAAGAAAGAGTACCCGTTTCGTTCAAGAGGTGGTGGACTGGCACGGCTGGCAAGTGCCTGCCTCTGGCAGATGGAAGCTCGTGTGGCCTCAACCTAATGATGATGCTACGTCCAACAGCTCTACCCCTACTACTGACTAAGCTACACAAATGGTGGCAAACACCTGCCCCCCGCTGGCTCGAGGGGGGTACCACTCCAGTGGTCTCGAATGTTATATCTGGACCGCACAGCGAGACATTTCCAAATGCACCATAGGATGGGACAGTATGCGTGTGGCAGAATCAGAGGAAGACATGAAAAATGGTCCTCGGACTCAAACTGAACAGTGACGCAAACTCGGTGTCGTACTCCCCGAATGGAATACAACTGATAGCAGCAGGCACCGGGTATGGCGAGTCGTATTCACTCCAGATGGTCTGTCTGCATCATCTGTGCAAACAAGAACGACATTCGAATATCAGATGCTTACCAGACATCATCGACACGCACACGGTGACACCAACCACAACAAGTTTGTCTCACTAGACATTGCACAAAATTCACCACGTCGTCCTACGGCAAGACGACGTGGTTCTTTGACGTGAGCACATTCGAATTTCGAACCCATTGGCGAGCCACTTGAGCACCTTAATCACGATGAAGTCTGGGATATGGCCCTTTCCAAGGACAGCCAGCTTATCGCGACTGGCTGTATCGACAACCATGTTTGCACATGGATAGTTCCTCAAATTGTGTCGGAGAGGGAGCTTCAACAGGTGAGCAAATTCTCTCGTCGTGTCATACTTCACGCTGACCTGTCATATAGTCCTCAATACTAACAAGTAACAAGTCCACATAGGCTGGCGGCGGCTATTGGCCTGGGCTTTGGCTGTGATGCCGTACCAGTCACGGTCGCTGGCGGTACGGTACTATTAGTAGCTCGGGCTTTCATCCGAGCAGCCATGCTCAATTCCCCGTCCTCATAGTACGTTCAAGGTTTCTCTATCCAAGATTTTCATTGCTGGAGCAGCACTAAATTTTGTTCTGAAGCAAGTGTGTGGTGCCATTAACCACACTGTACCAATTGCAATGAGAAAGCCGAAACATGACTAGGACTTACTGCAGTAGCCCGTGCCCACTCACACCTACTCACACATATGTAGTCCAGCTTACCACGCCGGTGAGTCTGGATGAAACTACTCATACTCACCAAACCATACTCTAATACTAGCGAGCATTCACAGTCAAGGCAGCAATCTGCATCTGAGTTACAAGGGAAGCCACCTGGATAGCATTCAGTACTATTAGTACTGACAGCCATGGACACTGTCAAAAGCGACGATGAAGAGGAGAAGGAGACTTGACGCATTGTTTGTGAGATACGATATGTACATCATCTCGGAAATAAATTGGTCGGAAGACGGGGTGCCCCTATACTATTCTGCGCAGAACTTATAACAGATGACATTTGCCATGTCAGCAGATCGTTGACGGGAATTTGGAAAGTAAGCACTTTGGATAACTTACGTGTGGTTTTATCAACCACACTGCACCAATGGGAAACAGAAACACGACTCACTGTGGCCCATCAGAACTCATATGCATACCTACCACGCCGGTGAGGCAATAAATTCTGGATGAAACTACTTATACTCACGGATGGGCGTAATAGGTCTATTAGACACGTATAGCCCGGGCAGCAATCCGTAGTTGTGATGCAAGTCTTGCCAACCATTTGGCATTCACTGTCAGCACTGACATCCATGGCAAGTGTCAAAGCAGCAACAACGGCAAGGACGACTTGGAAGGCGAGAGGCATCATTTGTGAGATGTGATATGGATGGAATCTCAGAGATAAATAAGAAGGGGGACGGTAGGAAGACGGCTCGCTTCTTATATTCTGATTCCTGAATACTATTCTGTGCAGACGCTACCCACCTGAAACCCACCTTCAGACAGATGTCATTTTCAAAGCCAGCGGATCGCCAGCAGACCGCACACTCGGATGTCAAGGACCGACGCTCCAGAAATCCGTGCTTCATCGCGCGAATTCATTAGGCTTACAACGAGAAAACAATGTGATATAATTAATCCAGTCACAAATCATACATTCAAGGTTTTAAGATGTTTCCCCATCCTAAAAATCTTCGTTGTCCGAGCAGCAGTGATATTTGTTCATAAGTAAGCATTTCTGCAACAAACTACTTACTACGTGTGGTGTCATTAACCACGTTGCACCAATGAGAAAGCAAAAGCATGACTCACTGTAACTCATTCGGCCGTACAGAGAGACATGTACTCTCCTATCTATTACGCCCCGGCTGGTGAGTCCACAAATCCTGGATGAAACTACTCATGCTCACCTCGTCACGTCCTGGGAGCGCTACTGACACGCATTTATAGCCGCGGCAGCAATCATGGCTTGTGGTGCAAAGGCCGCCAGCTGTGTGGCAAGCACTAACAGCCACGGACGCTGTCAAAGCAGCAGCAACGGCAAAGACGACTCGGAAGGAGAGAAGCATTATTTGTGATGTGATTGTGAAAATAAATTGGTAGGAAGACAGGATGCTTTTATACTATTGCGCTAAGAATTTATAACAGATGGCGTTTGCCATGCCAGCAGATTGTTTGTAAAGCACTTCGCACAGCGCAATCAACTACTTACGTGTGGTTCCATCAATCACGCTGCACCAATGGGAAGCCGCAAAAACACAACTCACTAGTACTCTAGTTCATCCGATCTCACAAGCATAGATATACGTATTGTAGCGGCTGCCACGCTGGTGAGTCAATAAATTCTGGATGAAACTACTCATACTCACATCTAGGCTGAGCAATTGCATCGTGCAGTCATAGCCGGGGCAGCAATCATTCGCAGATGAGTCGCAAAAGTTGTCAGGTGGTTGGCATTCAAGTTCACTGGCACTGACAGCCATAGACATTGTCAAAGCAGCAGCGACGATGAGGACGACTCGGAAGGAGAAACGCATTATTTATGAGATGTGATAGGGAATTTCGGAATCAACTTGAGGGGGAGGGTAGCTATAAGACAGCGGCTTGTTTTTATATCCTGGATACTACTCCTTGGACAAACCCTGCCCACCTTGAATTTACCTTCAAAATAGATGCGATGCCAGCAAACTGCCAGCAGACTTCCATTTATCTTCCATATTTTATTGAAAGACAGAATAATAGGACCTCCGAATATAGGTGGGGAGGCCTGGTACCGGATTGAGGATCGATGTTCGAACACGGGAATAACGCCTCCCGGGTCCACTTATATTGGGGGGTCGTAGAAGAGCCCCAGGACAATCAACGTGCGACCCCGAACCGTTGCTGTATCGGCCTACGTTACTAGGTGACATGAGAATCTGGCAGAAGTTCAGAGTGTTATCGTGCATCGGAGAACGCGGAACATGATACTAGCAGCTAGCGCTGAGCGCTGAGGCTTTGAAGATCAAAATTCCGAAAGAGAGTATGCTCCCTAGGTATGCCAATATTTGCTGTCAATGTTGTTGTCAATGTACACCATCAATAGACTCCTACGTTGGTTCTCCACCGAGACACAAATTTCCGCAACGGCCCGGGGTACAGACGTAGCACTAAGCACGATGTGATGGAAGTAACGCTGTCTTCCTTCAATTGGTCCGGCTAGATGAGATTATATTTTTATCTTCCTCGATTATCTCGCCCATTGGAGAAGTTCGCTTAGCCTGTGACTATAGCTCCAGTTGCACGGCTGCTACAAGCGCGTCTCAAGGAATTACAGAACCCAACAGCAACCTAAGATGCATAATTGACATTATATCAGTGACTATTTCTATCTTGAAAGTTGGAATTTTGTCCTGTTCGCATGCTGCTCTAGTACTAAGACTTCCGGGTGCAGTATCGCCAGTAGGAACATGAGATCTGCAATTTCCATCTTTAAAAGATCTGTTCACGCTCCGTCAAGTGATTGATAGACGTAATCCTAACTCACCGCTCGTTTGTAATAACGAAAGGACGCCCAAAATATATCGCCGAGCGGTTATCCACAATTGTCTCAGAATTGATGATGAAGTACTGAACAAGAAGGCGCAGGTGTACAATATCGCCTGGAATTCGAAACTGAGCTGTAGTCTGTAGAGAACAACCAAGGCGAAACCAACTAACATATTGCTTTCCCCGCCTAGCATAAGACGAGCTGCAGCGCGTTTTGCATGAAAGGCTGCACTATCCATCTGCAATGATATTCTGAAATGATGTAGCTTTCCATGATGATGGAGATAATGATGGAATGTAGGTCTCAGTGGGATCATCTCTATTTGATACTTGACCACAAAGTTTGCATACGAGTTCTTAGTTCGTTGGTCGGGTGCACGCGAAAAGGGCAAACCTGTATCACGAGGTGCTGGTGAGGATGAGTGCCGCACGACCGTGACGCCGGATCAGGATGGTGCCCCACATTAGCGCTGTCGGCATCCACCTCTTGTCCTGACGTAGATCAGCGGCGGTTGGCAACTCGAAAAGTTCGTCTACAAGATGTAAAGGGCAAAGGTTGATTCCGCGGAAACAATTTACATTCACAGGCGAGTTTGAGATCCAACATCTTGCACCTGTTTCCCTCGTTCGCGTTCTTTCTGTTAGGCTGTTTGAACTGTGTCACCTGTGTGGTTGATTTCTGCGGCCGGGCTGGCTGTTCAGTTCTTCCAGCACAAGCCGCAAGCTGGGACCTTTGTGGGTGATGGCGAATTGGTTGGGAGAGGATAATCAGCACACGAAAAGTCGCTACTTAGCTAGAACACCTGTCAAACAATTGTGCACATGCCATTTTGCAGCGGAGTATTCTAGAAACACGGCTCAAATTCTACGGATATCGTCACACGTGGTCATGGGACGCACTGGAACCGTGAAAGGCTAATAGCAGGTTTTTTAAGGCAAGTATCTGATATACATCTATCAAACAACCTTGCCGGAAATCAGTCAAGTTCTCTTCATTAACGTGTTGCGGAGCTACATACCTTGGGTGCTAAACTGACAATCTTCCCCCAGCCTTTCATGCGCAAGTCAGCACTCACGACGCCACCAATACGCGTCCCCAGCATCTCTCTCTTGTTATTCAAAAGGACTGCCGCATTATCATCAAACCTGATGAAACGCCCGTCTGGTCTTCGAACTGACTTCTTGGTTCGCACGATGACTGCTCGACGAACATCTCCACGTCGGACTTTGACCGCAGTCGTAGATGCCTGAGTCGCCGCTGATACTGGGCGCGCGCGTTTGACGACGCAGACTATTTCATCACCGACAGAGCCCCAACCGTTATTGACCTTTTGTTTGAGGACATTGACGCACTCGATGAGTAGTGCGCCGGAGTTGTCTATTACCTGCATAAATTTTGTGAGCTGAGTGAGGACATAAAATGGATACAGAACTTCACCGACATTAAGTGTAGACTTGAGCCCAATCATCACCTCAAATGACAGACGAAAAAAGCAAAGAATGTGGGATTGGTGGCAGTGACTTGTCGTGGGGCGGGTGGGAATTGATGTGCATATATGTATTCAATAAGGTATAGGCATTTTATATTGTCATCAAGTACTTATGTTTCTCAACCGCGTTGTATATGTACTGTAACCCGGTCGATAGCCTTGGGAAATCGGCGTTAACAAGGTCACCATCAATATTAATGCCAGTTGTGTGAGGCTCATTCATCGCCTTACATTCGGCATGTCGTGAACCAAAAAGTTGGTTTGAGGACATACCATACGTTTATGGAGATGTATTTTCCACGCGAAGTAGGTACCGATGAAGGACTGCCATGGTCGTGAACTCAAACTCCACTCGCTGTCTTTCTTTCTCCCTCCATCATCTCTCCACATAATACGTCAGTTTTGATCAAGAATGCCTGCCTCGCGTCGCGGAAGTGGTAGCTTCACGCTAACTACAGGTCAGACAATCGCCATCCATACCCGGACACAAGATGAGGAAGACCTCCCGCATGCAACTAAGAAGTACGTAGAATCATCGATAATACTTGACCCATTAATCTTACTTTTCTTATCTTGTGAAATCGCAGGACGATGGCTGATCACTTGAGAAAATACGAGAGTTTGTCAGTCGTCCTATGATCAGGGGCTCCAACGATGGATCCACTGAACCTTCATTGCACAGGTTCACACTCACACCGCAGAGGATGCGGATGATTGTCGAGGCCTTTACTGAAACACTCGAACTTGGCTTGAACAAGCCCAACCAGATTGTAGTGCGTATGTACTCCATACATCCATACTGAATGAGATCACCTTGCGTTTGTTGTTCAAACTCAATTCATTTTTGCATTCGGTCGTGGGACGAGACAAATCAATCTATGTTTCGATGTTTTTGATTCTTGACGCTTTTCGCATTTCTGTTATGAGCGGTTTCCGACCGTGTGCTGAATTAGTCCTTGTAGCCTATGATTCCGACGTACGTGTTTGGATGGCCAACAGGTCAGGAGAAAGGAGATTTCCTTGCTCTTGATCTTGGTGAGTGATTTGCCATTTGTGCCTTTTTTCTGGGCCCTAAATATACTCATGCGAATGCATTTCGTTATAGGTGGAACAAACTTGCGTGTTTGTCTTGTGACCCTTCAGGGAGATGGAAAATTCGAGATTTCCCAAACTAAATATCGTTTGACTGAGGAGCAAAAACAAGATGATGGCCAGAAATTGTTCGATTTCTGTGCTGAATGCTTACATACCTTTGTTGAAACCAACACGGGCGAGGGCGCGGGCCAACTGAAGCCTGGCCAATCCCTACCTCTTGGGTTTACCGTAAGTCAGTGGCTATCATAACGTCATCCTTCTAACTATGTAGTGTTCAGTTCTCCTACCCTTGCTCGTAAGTGCGCATGATGCAATTGTTAGTTCAGTGCATGCAAGATCGACGTGTTTCGGTATTCAGGCAGGAGCGCATTGACCACGGCGAGCTCATCCGCTGGACCAAGGGTTTTGGAGCTGGAAACACGGAGGGCAGGGATGTTGCCGAGATGTTCAAGAAGTCCCTGGAGAAATACGTACGTTCTGCCTATCTCAAATTTCCATTCATACTGACTCGCATACGAACAGCAATTGCCCATCAAACTAACCGCTCTTATCAATGATACAACCGGAACGTTGATTGCATCACACTATGTGAACCCTAAAACGAAGATCGCGGTTATCTTCGGAACTGGTTGTAACGCGGCTTATATGGAGAACGTCAAGAATATCACCAAAATAGAGCATTTGGGTATCGATCCTGGAGCTGAGATGGCGATCAATTGCGAATGGGTATGTAGGGTTTGGTTCCAGTCTCAACACTCTATTGATGAGCTTGGCAGGGTGCATTTGATTCATTCGAACACGAGCATCTGCCTCGCACGAAATACGATACGGTCGTCGATGATACTTCAAATAAGCCTGGAGAACAGGCATTTGAAGTGGGTACATCTATTGTGGAACATTATTAGCGTGACATATCCACTATCCAGAAACTCATTTCCGGCCGGTACTTGGGCGAGATTCTGCGACTAGTTCTTTGCGAGCTCATCGACGAAGGTGTACTCTTCCTGGGACAGAACACTTACAAACTTGAGAAACCATACTGTTTCGACACGGCTTTCTTGTCTCTCATGGAGAGGTACCACATTTCCCACTCGAGTGAAAATGTGCATATGCTCATCGTCGTGTTCTCAGTGACCCAACGGACGAACTTCTCATGGTGATCGGGATTTTCACACATTTCTTCGCCCTCGAGACGACGCTCGCGGAACGGCAGTTCTTCCGGGCTCTTGCGAAACTCATTGGAAGGCGTGCGGCTCGTTTAAGCGCCTGTGGTATTGCCGCAATCGTCAGCAAGATGAATTATCTAGACGAGGGATGTTCAGTCGGGGCGGATGGCTCCTTGTACAACGTAAAAATCCTTCTTTCTGTCTTGCCGCAGGATGTTCACGCCTATGCAGAAATACCCTGGGTTTGCCGATCGCGTACACGAAGGTTTGCAGGACATTTTTGGCGACAAGGGACGGTGAGTAGTTATTGTTTGATATGCTCTTTTCCTTCCGATCTGAGCGCATGGAATCACAGCAACATCGTTACGTACCACGCTGAGGATGGTAGTGGTGTAGGTAGTGCGATTATTGCAGGTTCGTATCATCGCCGTCTCAGTTGTTCGGTAAGCTTATGCGTGTGTTATTTTAGCCATGACGAAGCACAGGAAGGATGCTGGGTTGTACCTTAATGTTTGATCATACTATTTGCGTGCATAAGAGGGGAATATCGAATACAGAAGTGTATGCGTTTATGTACTTTGCTATCTCCTGGCCCTTAGAGTTGTGTTATTGATTTTTCATAAATGTCCCCAGGGTAATGACGGGCCCTACTTACGTCGGGGGTCGTTTCCTTCTATGTAAAGCTCTTCTATTGTGTTGACGTGAAAGTGGGTATATTTATGTAAGATGCCAACTGTCTCTGTCAAATCCAGGGTAACAACACATATCTCGTGAAGGCATTGTAACGAAAGTATTGTCACATAACGTAGCTTGTACATAAAATCCAGGTCACCCCCGCAAGTCTCATATCGCCCTGCCAAAGGTAACGGGCGCATTCGCATAATCTTCCGTAGATTCTAATGATGGGTATGGTAACTTAGGAGAGCGTATTGATTCATCACGGGCGATTTCTTGGTGAAAGGAAATCTCAACGTTCAGTGGAGCGGCTGGGGGAGGGGGCTTTGGTAAGTCCAACGGCCGCCGCAACTGGATGGAGTTTTCATCCATGAGGGTGGTGGAGCGATTCGTCCAGGCCTTGCCCACTGCAATGCGGTAGATAATAAGGAGTGGGGCAACGACCTATAGTACAAACGTAAGCCATAATTTGTTCCGCGTAGCATGGGAATGCCTACCTGCGCTTCGCCCAGTAATTGCATGAATGCATATGAGATCGGGCTGTTGAGGGTATACGGTATGAGGTAAAGAAGCGAACATATCGAGTAAATGGCGGCAGATTCGATAACGATGGCTGCGAAACTGGCGTAAATCGCGCCGTGGCCTAAGCCTAGGACTTTAGATATACGGTGGCGGTGATATAGAAGGCGTATGACAGTGAGGAGGCTGATGAAGATATTGATGACGAGGGAGAAACAGAGGTATGGGAAGAGCAAGCTAAAGGACATCCAGCCGCTTGCGGATTGTACTGGTGTTGAGACAATAACAAGCCAGAGGGTTCCTGTGACTTGTGAAGGGTCAAAAGGGATTGCGAAGACACATGTAAATCTGGCACATACCGAGAGTTCCGAGGAACAGAAGAGATCCAAGTCCAACAATGATGAAGTAAATTCCAGTATCTCTGTATACTACGGTACATCGCCAGATCTATGGTGCGTGTTCGATGGTGAAGATGGGAGATACAACGGTACACTTACCATCAACAGGTCTGCACACCAATCTGAAACCACGAAAGCGGTGTTTAGTGGAGGTGACGAGGTCGCCTCCTCGAATGCACTAGGGCCTGAGTAAAAACATAAGTATAACATGCAGTCTATTTTAAAAGTTGCACATACCACCGGGATATAAACGATTGTCAATAAAGCCCAGTTGCGTTATCTGGGCGTTGAACGCTACATATATCGTACCAACCACAAAGAGGAAAGTGACATAGCATAAGAGGAATCTGTTCGTCTTGTATCCAGTAGCATGCGATTGAGCGCGGGGCCAGAGGGAGCGCCAACACATGACAGACAAGACGATCACCACGCCATAAAGGACGCCAGTGACGATGGCCCCCTGCAGCCATGCGCCCTCCGCATAGATCAGTGTATTGGATTCGTCAGGGCGGTAAGACATAAGTGCTGAAGCAGCAGTGCTGATCTGAAAGTCGAGAACTATGCACTGCAGTTTGATGAGAGTCTGGCCGTTCTAGAATCGCACACCGTGTGACGCATATATATCACTTGACCTAAATCACGTTGTTCGCTAAAGCGCTGATAGGCTGACCCGGCCAACCTTCTTTTTCAAGACGGGTTGCATTTGAGCGTTGTTGACGCTCGACAGTAACGGCAGGGTCGTGAGAGGACCCGACGGAATCTCCCATTTTAATTTTGATGGAGTTTGAGTTGGTGGGGATGGTATTCGGAAAAACAAAGAACCTACAAACGTTAATGAACGGACGTTTATACCGTGAGCAGAACGAGGCAGCGGCGCAGCGTGGTACCTATGGTACTGGTAACAGTACTAGGTCAATCCAGAGTCAACCTGACGTGGCCTGAAGGCCTGACGGCTCATTGACGTCTGTGGCTGACCTCTAAGAAGGTGGCGTAAAGCGGATGGGTTTCGGAGCTTGGTTCAAGCGTTGAGAAGGAAACTGCTTTCCGTCTTCCGAAAGCTGCGGAGTGCGCGTCACCGAGCGACAGCCAAGGTCTAGACGTCTAAGGTTTGGTGAAGGATGAACGTTTAACACAACAAAGTTTTGTGAACTTCAAAGCACGTTATCTCAAAGTTCGCTGACGCGAAGTATCGTCACTTTGAGGTACGGCCGTGGCTGACCGATCCAGATTACATACATAGGGCACGCACATGATTCAATTCC